ACCCACGGAGGTCCCTTCCAACCCCTACTATTCTGTGATTCTGTGATTCTGTGAGGTGCCCGCGGCGGTGGGAGGTCAGGCTGAGACCGTGCCTTGTGCAGCTGGGCCGGGCTGCGAGTGACGGCGTGGCTCACCCTGAGCTGACGCAGAGCCGGCCGTGTAGCTCCCGGTGACAGTTCCTTCCCCTGTGCTGGGAACGCTGAACCATCCTCTAAAGGTGTTCTGGTTTCTGCTCACAGAACGCTTCAGTGCTGCTGACTAAAGAGCAAGCACCACAGCTAGTTCACGCGGCAGCTCGGACAGCAATTTTCTTTCACTATTATTAAAAATCCCTGTTTAAAAAAACCCATAGAATCATAGAAAGTTTTGGGTCGGAAGGGACCCCTAGAGCTCATCTAGTCCAACCCCCCCGAAGCGAGCAGGGACACCGCTAACTAGATCAGGTTGCTCAGAGCCCTGTCCAACCTGGTCTGGAATGTTTCCAGGGATGGGGCCTCCACCACCTCTCTGGGCAACCCGTTCCAGTGTTCCACCACCCTCATTGTAAAGAATTTCTTCCTTATATCCAGCCTAAACCTACCCTGTTTTAGTTTAAAACCGTTACCCCTCGTCCTGTCACTGTTGTCTCTACTAAACAGATTGTCCCCATCTTTCCTATGGGCTCCCTTTAAGTACTGAAAGGCTGCAGTCAGGTCTCCGTGCAGCCTTCTCTTCTCCAGGCTGAACAAGCCCAACTCTCTCAGCCTGTCCTCCTAGGAGAGGTGCTCCAGCCCTCAGGTCATTTTTGTAGCCCTCCTTTGGACCCGCTCCAGCAGTTCCATGTCCTTCTTGTGCTGAGGGCTCCAGAGCTGAACACAGTACTCCAGGTGAGGTCTCACCAGAGCAGAGTAGAGGGGCAGAAGCACCTCCCTCGACCTGCTGCCCACGCTTCTGATGCAGCCCAGGACATGGTTGGCCCATCACTGCAGTAGTTTCAGCGTAAAGCGTTGTCTTTTCTTCCACTTCCATGGTCTGCATCTTCTTCCCACCAGGCCCCAAAGGTGGTGAAACCAATCAAAGACGACAGCCTGAGGCAGGAGCACACCTGTGGAATCTTGCAGAAGTTTGGAGACAGGACCCTAAAGGCCCTGTGAGTCTCGCCCACGTTTATCATTATTTTGGAGCGAAGCGTGGCTGTGGCACGGTAGCTGCGGGTGGCTGCACGCCTGCAGGCAGCCGTGACCCCGGATACCAGCCGTGCCCTTTCTGTGTGCAGCTCACCAGCAGCACCTAACCAGGAATACAGATTTATACAGATTTATGCACGACGGCCGTCACCGTTTCCTGACAAACTGCCGTTAGCTTTCAAAATCTACACCCAAAGTCTGAAACAGAACGCATCTCCCTGTGACGGAAGAGTGGTTGAGAGCAAAACACAACTCGTCTCTCACCACCCTTGCTGACACAAGGCTGCTCCTGCAGTGTGGTGCTCACCTACCACATCTCCTCCCGCCACCCCACACCCTCAGGTACCTCTGCGAATCTCAGCTGTGGGCTTCAGGGGACGCCCACTTGTTAACGTCAGTGGGAGCAGGGAGAGAGCATCCCGGAGCAGCCTGGACACCCCCTCCACAGAAAAGCGATGATAGCTATCACAGCCTCACGCTGTGAATATAAACGATAACTGTTTTTCTTCGTTGTAGGAAACTCGCTCAGATAAGCCAAAAATTCCCTAAAGCTGATTTTGTCACCGTAAACAAACTGGTGACGGATGTTGCTAACATGCACCAGGACTGCTGCCGTGGAGATATGCTGGGCTGCATGCACGACAGGGTAAAGCTCATTTACTATTTCTGTGTCTGCAGAAACTGAATGCACTTTTTTTGTTGCTTTCAGATCCTTTTTTTTCCTCCTGTCCTGTCCCGTCTGGACGAGCTCCTATGCAGCCTGCTGTGGGTGACCCTCCTTGGGCAGAGGGTTGGGCTGGGTGACCCACAGAGGGCCCTTCCAACCCCAACCAGTCTGTGATTCTGTACTGATCGCTCTCCAAAACTGGGGTTTAACTCTCCAGTCTAAAAGCCTGCCTGATCTTCCCGTCTGGCTTCTCCTGGTGTGCAGCCACCAACCAGGGCAGAAGCATCACCGTGTGACTGAAGCCGCCCAACGCGGTGGTTTCGGCTGCGGCTCGCCCGTGGCGTCTGGCAAGGCAGCTGAGCCCTGGTGCAGGGGCTACCCAGGGGCACCCGCCGAACGGCAGGCACGGGGCTGCAGCAAGGAGATCAACGGGACCTCGGTCGCCTTCCTCGCTCTGCCAGATGGCTGTCGCACAGCTTCGGCCAGCCACCTCCTCTCTTTGGGAGCCACTTGCTCCGTCTGTAAAATGGAGACAAAAACACCGATCGAAAATAAGACAAAAAAAAAGAAGACCAAAATCCAATAACATTTCCTTCATTCCCTTTTTTGCTTTACAGGAAGAGATTCTACACTACGTCTGCACCAACCAAGACATCCTATCAAGTAAAATTGGGAAGTGCTGTGAAAAGCCTCTGCTGCAAAGGAGTGAATGCATAGTTAACGCAGAAAACGATGACAAACCTGCCGACTTGTCCCCCCACGTCAGGGAGTTCATAGAAGACGAAGGAGTATGCGAACGTTTCGCCCAGGAAAAAGACACTCACTTGGCCAGGTAACGTGGGTCTGCCTCTGCTCTTCACCCTCTGAGGGTGACGGATCCCTGGAAGAGGCTGCCCAGGGAGGTTGTGGAGTCTCCTTCTCTGGAGATATTCAAGACCCGCCTGGACAAGATCCTGTGCAGCCTGCTCTGGGTGACCCTGCTTGGGCTGGGGGTTGGACTAGATGACCCACAGAGGTCCCTTCCAACCCCTACTATTCTGTGATTCTGTGATTCTGTGATTCATCTCGCTGCTTCAGTACTTGGGCCAAGAGATGACACGCTGGACGTTCAAGCCCAGCTCGTCACCTCAGACCTGGCCGCTCTGTCGGCACGTAGGCATGGGACACTGCGCAAGCTGACCGTAGTAGAGCACCGCTCAGCCCCAGCAGGTGTGGAATGGGAACAAATGCAGAACAGGGCACGACTGTTACTTCAGAGACAAAACTGAAGAAGCACACGTGAATTATAGGTGCTGCCAGTTCTGATCTCAGGCCCAAAATACAACCTCGATGCGTTCTGAAGTGGGAATTCAAAAACACTTCTTGAAGTCAGGCTCGTGTCTTGGCTCCGGCAGGATTGGTGCCTTTCTGTTCTAGCCTTGCTCCTTTGCGCAGTGAAGCCCTGGCCGTGCCTGTAGTAAACTCGGGCAAGGACACCACGGGCTGCAGCAGGAACGGCGTCGAGTCCCAGAGGCAGAGAATCCATCTCCAGTAGCCCACATGGCTGCCTTTTATGAAAAGCCCAGCCGATCGCTCGGGCGCGGCGGCTGCGCAGGGGGGACTGCTTCAGCAGGGCCAGCCCTTTCTGATGAGAAAGGGGTCTGATGCTGGAAATTATTCCATTATCATTTTGATAGGATGGAAAACAGAGCAAAACGCCAAGCCCCACCAAGCTCTGCGCTACCCCTGACCCAAGCTGACACTGAGCCCTGCTGCTTTGGCTCATCTCTAATCACTGACGCTCCCCATATTGCAGGTTTCTGTACGAATACTCCAGGAGACACCCTGAATTTTCTCCTCAGATGCTTTTAAGGATTGCGAAAGGCTACGAGGACCTACTGAGCGAGTGCTGCCAGGCCGGCGCTGCGGACGACTGCCGCAGCAGAGGGGTGGGTGCCGCCAGGCTGCACGCAGCGCACCGACGGCTCCGAGCGTCTGGCCGCACAGGGAATATCCCTGCTCCTGGTCCAGAGCGGGTACCCACAGCCCCCCAACAAACCCAGCCCACAGGGCGAGGCCTGGCTGATTCCCCTGCGGAAAAGGCACCGACAGAGCCTTTGCAACCCGCAACTGCCAAGCAGTTTGAGGTGGAGAGACAGGGGTGCCGGGGAAAGGGATGGAGCGGGCACTTCTGCGAGCCCTGCTCTCTTTCGGGCTCCCCAGCAGTGCCGACTGCCCTCGTGCAAACCTACGAGGTGCCCACGGTTATCGTCTCAGACACAGACAGCGGCGTTGTAAACATCTGAGGTTAGGAGCCACCCCGTGTCTCTGACCCAGCCTTCCATCAGTGACACAAAAGTCAAAATTTCAAGGTGATTGAAGGTGGGAATTTATCGCAATCGGGCAGTTTGTAGAGGTTTCAGACAGATGAGGACTTTCTCATGGTATTAAAAGTGGGGGGCACATATTAGGTGAGAGGCAGCCATAGCTGGCCAGCCCTTACATGAGGCAACAGGGCATTCTGCGGTCCTCCCCGGTACGACGACTCCTCACATTAATTTATTTTTTCAGGAGGAAGAACTGAAGAAACACATTTATGAAACGGAAAGCGTCATGAAGACAAGCTGTGACATTTACAAGGAGAAAGGAGATTACTATTTCCAAAACGAGTATTACTTTTTTATATGCTTACCTTACTCCTGCCCCAGCTGGGCACGACTCGGGCTGGAGCAGAGCCACGCGTGCCAAAACAGCTAGGCTGAAAGGCACCGCGTGAATATTTGGACCGATAAATTAATGCCTTCCAGGTTTTTCTTTTTTATCTTTCCCAAGACAATGTTCTGGCCTCTCACAAGCTCTCTCCTTAGCCCAGCTCACCAAGCAGCGAAGTGACAACGCGATCCATCTCCCGTTCACGCTTCCCGTGACGTTCTTGCTTTGTAGCTGCATTTTGAGCTGCGAGCTGTAACTTAAGGGTCGTAAATCTGCCCAAAAGACAGGTGCTGTGCCTTTTGCAAAAGGCGTCGCTCCGTGCAGCCCCTGCAGCAGAGGTGAACACTGACAATCGTAACCAAAGTCTCACCACAGCAGACAGAGCGAAACCGGACCAGCTGAGCCGCGCACTGCTCTCAACCCAACATGCAGGCACAAGCCTCCTGGAGGAACTCCGGCCCTGGCTCGCAGCGTTCGTGAGCGCGTGCCTAGCTCACAGCACGTCAGCAGTGTCAGGGAGACCTCCAAGACCTCGTGTACTCACAGCAGGGCTTCAGCTAGCCTTCTCCGGGGAGATACAGCTGCCTTGCTGCACTCCGAGCATGTCTGGTCTTTAGAAGACCTTCAGAACTAGAGGTTTCCACCAAATCTGGTGGGATGCTTCTGCCTGTTGTATCCGCTGTTAAAGTTTTCCTGGCCATGAGGGTTCATAAGCACAGTTTTTCTAAAAGAAAAAACGAGTGAACTACTCTTTTGAGCTCATTTTCTGCCCTCACCCAATCTGCCAAGCAGTCACTCGAGTTCAGTTTTGCCCTTAGACAAGCTCCCTGCGCTCCCAGGGAAATGAGTAACACGGGAGAAAGCACACGTACCATCCGGTACGAGGGCCACCAACACACAACGGGGATTGCTGTAGTTTATTTTACTTTTTTAGCCTGGTAAGAGAGTGGTCAGAAAAACGAGAGAGCTCAAACAAACAGAGCACGCTCACACTCGCCTGCGTGAGTCGGTAACACCCGCTGCAGTCCTGCCCTCGCTCTGTGGGCTTTGCGGCTTGCTCGCTGCTGCCTGGTGGAACAAAAACACCAATATCAAAGAAATTCTCGTTTCAGGCTTCTCATGAGCTTCACTAAGAAGATGCCTCAGCTGACATCTGCAGAGCTGATAAAATTCACCAAGCAAATGACCACGATCGGCTCCAAGTGCTGCCAGCTGAGCCAGGACAAGCTGCTGCCCTGTGCCGAGGAAAACGTGAGTGGTCTCCTTCCGTACCTTGGCCCTACTTTTTCTTGAAACTCTGCCACAAATTCTGCTGCCAGCAGGGTCCAAGAGCTTGTAGTGCAGGTAAATGAGAAAAATGTTCACTGAGATACTGGGCTGGCCAGAAGATGTAACTCCAGCTGCCAGCATCACCCAGCACGGCTGAGGTTAATGCTTGGGTTAATCACAGAATCCCAGCATGGTCGGGGTTGGCAGGGACCGGTCCCCTGTGTGCTCCCCCCGCCCCCCCCCCCTGCCGAAGCAAGGTCACCCAGAGCAGGCTGCACAGGACCTTGTTAAGCTGTGGGAGGATCAGGAAAGGGCCAAGCTAGCGCTGGGCAGCCAGCAGCGACGCCGTGCCAGCCATCTGACCCTGCTCCCTCGGAAGCTGACGATCGCTCGTCTGCCTTCAGCCTTTCTAGACGCCTGAGGCCGTAGGGCTTTATGAAAAGGGCTGGTTTTGTACAGCTCTTCCCTAAGAGCTCTCCAGGCACATGAACCAAAGTCCTCACAGAGCTCCTGCCTGTCCTCCAGCAGCACCTGCACGAGCGCAGCCGGGCACACCCTGAGGAACCCTGCTGATGGAAGCAAGCCAGATGTGGCTTTACGGAGAAATCACAGCACTTCTGTGTGCAAAGGGCAGTCCCTAGACCTGTGCTCTCACATGGATTCTGAACATCTGAGCCAGTTTTGCACTGACTAAAGTCAGCATTCAGTAGAAATATAAACTGTTCTCCATCTTACAAACAAGGTTTAATCTAAATTAGATTGACCCACAGAGGTCCCTTCCAACCCCTACCGTTCTGTGATTATGTGATTCTGTAAATTCTCAGGGTTTTTTTTATAACTTTACGAAGAGCAGCATGTATTTCAGGGATTTCTGCAAGTGAAAAAATAAGGTACAATTGGGTTTTTTTCACCTCTCTTGGTAAAGTTGGATCTCGTGCTTGGAGAAATATGTAGAAGGCACCTGACCGATCCGATAAACCCTGGAGTCTGCCACTGCTGCAGTAGCTCCTACGCCCTCAGGAGGCCATGCATGGGGAAACTGGACGTCGACGAGAGTTACGTGCCCTTATCACTGACTCCTGGTCTGTTCACTTTCCACGAAGACCTGTGTACAACCGAAGAGGAGAAGCTACAGCACAAGAAGCAGGAGTAAGCCATGCCTGTTTTACTCGCTTACCCCCGTGTTTCTTCTTCTTATCCTGGCAATGCTCACCCTTCCCTTCTCCACGCTCTCTGGCCTTCTTGTTCTGCAATACACCACGGAAAGGCAGCCACACGCCCCTCAACTCCCCTCCACGCTCCTCTCCGTTCCTCCCACGCTCGTCCCCGTTTCTTTTGCTGTCTGGTTCAACCAACGTTTACCTGCCCTAGGTTAGAGGGGAGTCACTCCCGGGTGGGTGGCTGCGCTGGTGCAGACACCGCCAGCACGGAAGCAATAGGTGTCCAAGGTCAGTCCTGATAAACACCCTCCCACCATCCTCTACGGGAACTGCACAAGGCGCTGCACAAAACGATACCAGACGCACAAGGAAGCTACTGCCTGGAGCCCTGCCTGAGCTTTATGGCTTAATTAGGGCTCATTTCCCAGAATGGGAAAGCCCTTGTGTTTCTCCTTACCCCACGCCCTGCTCCTCTCTGAAATGCTCTGGTGTTCGGTGGCCTTCGCCAGAGAAGACTTGCCCGCTGGCCCCGGCTCTGCCACTGTCACCGCAAGGAGCAAACCTCGGTGCCCTCACCTTGCGCCAGGGTGCACCCACGCCGTCCCGGCCCCGCTGGAGGGGGGCACGGCACACAGACCGTCCACACTGTTTATTCATGGACATCCATGGTGGAGCAACCCCCGCAGCGAGCGTTGATATTTTACTCCCCAGGAGAACGGGGGGCCCCGGTGCTC